GTACAGTATAACCCATTAACGGGGCAAAAATTTTTCTTACAGGAACCATCCCTGATGAATCCCGACATTAGGCATAATAAATGAAGGCTTTAAATTAGCTTTCTTGGAGCCTGCCTGGCAAGCACAAGGTACTGAGTTGGATCCCTGGTACCGAAAAATAAATAAATAAGTAAATAAATTAGCTTTCTTAAATATGCTCAAATAACTAAAAGAAATGTTGGGCAAAGAGGAAATCTTGGAAATAGGAAAATCTTGGGCAAGGGAAATTGAAAAATAGGGAATGAAAAACTGAGACTATCAATAAAGAGATAGAAACTATTAAAAGAAGGACCCAAACTGAAATTCTAAAAGTGAAAATACTTTAACTGAAATGAAAATTTCACTAGGGGCATTCAACAGCAGACTTGAACAGGCAAAAGAAGGGATCAGCATACCTGAAGATAAGACAATTGCAATGATCAAGCCTGAGAAGTAGGAAAAGAAAAGATAAAGAAAAATTAACAGAGCCTTGGGGACAACACCAAATGTACCTCGTCATCAGAAGACCAGAAGGGGAAGAGAAAGGGCAGAAAGATTTTTTGAAGAAATAATGTCTAAAAGCATCCCAAATCTGATGAAAAGCAATGAATATACATATCCAAGAAGCTCATGAACCCCAAGCAGCAGAAACTCAAAGATTCTTACAAATCCTAAGACAAAGGAGAAATATGAAAACAAGAAAGAAGTAACTCATTATCTACAAGGGATTTTTTGATAAGGTTAACAGCTGATTTCAGAAACCACAAAAGCCAAGAGGCAATGGGATGATATGTTTAGTCCTGAAAGGGGGAAAACAAAAATACTGTCTAACAAACATCCTATTTCCAGCAAAACTATCTGTCAAGAATTAAAGACAAAAAAAAAAGAATTAAAGACAAATAAGACATTTCCACATAAAAATTTTTTTGAAGAATTCATTACTGGTAGACTTGCCTATAAAAAATGTTAAAGAGTTCTTCACACTGAAACAAAAGGACAGTAAGTGGTAATTCACAGCCATACCCAGAAATAAAGATCTCTGGTAAAAGGAAATACATAAGTAAATATAAAAACTAGTATTATTGTGTTTTTTGGTTTCCAACTCCTCTTTTTTTCCCCTATATAATTTAAAAGGCAAATGCATAAAACAATAATTATAGGAAAGTTGTTTTGGTTTTTTTTGGAACCGGAGATTGAACTCAGGACCTTGTGCTTGCCATGCAGGCATGGTGCCACTGAGCTACATCCCTAGGCCCAAAACAATAATTATAAATCTATGTTAGTGAGTACACAGTGTATAAAGATGTAGTCTGTGACACCAATATGAAAGAGAAGGGACTAAGGTGTATAGGAACAGTGTTTATACACTACTGAAACTACATTGTTGTTATTAAAACTAAATTACATTGTTATAAGTTTAAGATATTAATTGTAATCACCAAGGTAACCACTAAGAAAATTACTACAAAATGTACAAAAAGGAAAGCAGAAGGGAATCATAATGGTAAACTACCTCCCAAAAATGAACTAGATACAAAAAAAAGACAGTGGAAGAATTAAAGGACAAAAAGGGCCAGGGATTTAGCTCAGTGGTTCTGGCACCTGCCTTGCAAGTGCAAGGTCCCGAGTTTGATCCCTGGTACCAAAAATAAAAAATAAATTTTAAGACTAAAATCATACAAAGTATCTCTTCTGGTCACAATGGAACAAAACCCAAATTCAGTACAGATGAAATAGGAAATTCACAAATATATGGAAATTAAACAACATGCTTTTAAACAACCAGAGTCAAAGAAGACATCACAAGGAAGTTAGAAGATAACTAGAGACAAATGAGAACAAAAATGTAATATACCAAGACTTATACTATATAGTGAAAACAGGAAATTTATTAATGCAAGTGCCTTTATTAAAGAAAGATCTCAAATCAATAACCTTATTGCACATTTTAAAGAACTAGAAGTAGAGCAAACTAAGCCCAAAGATAGCAGAAAGAAGGAAATAGTACACATTAGAGATAAATGCAATAAAGAATAAAAAATGAGAGAAAAATCAATAAGGTCAAAGTTGAATCTTAGAAAATATCAACAAAACTGACCAACCTTTAGCTAGATTAACAAATTAAAAAAAGAAAACATCCAAAAAACCAGAAATGAAAGTGGGGACATCACTATCAAACTTGACAAAAATAAAAAGGAGTATAGGAGAATACTATGAGCAACTGTATTAAAACAAATTAAATAACCTAGATGAGATGGACAAATTCCAAAACACACAAAATATCAAAACGGACTAAAGAGTGCCAGGGATTTAGCTCAGTGGTGCCGCTGCTTGCCTTGCAAGCGCAAGGTCCCAAGTTCAATCCCAGGTTCCAAAAGGAAAAGAGAAACACTGTCTAAAGAAACAGAAAGTCTGAATACATCTATAACAAGAGATTGAATCAGTAGTTAAAAATCCCAAAAAAGAAAAGTTCAGGACCAAATGCTTCACTGGTAAATTCTATAAAACATTTAAAGAAGAATTAACATCAATCTCAAACTCTTCCAAAAAATGAAAAAGGACCTAACATTTCCTAACTCATCCTATGAGGACAGCATTACCTAATAAAACTAGACAGACACCACAAGAAAAGTACAGACCAATATCCCTTACAAATATAGCTACAAAAATCTTCAACAAATATTAGGAAGCCAAATTCAGCAGCATATTAAATTGATCGAACACTATGACCAAATAGAATTTATTCCCAGAATGTAAGAATGGTTCAGCATACAAATATCAATCAGTTTAACACACCTTATTAATAGAATAAAGGGGGAAATTATGATCATCTCACTTGACACAGAAAAAGCATGTGACAAAATCCAACAACATTTCATGACTTTAAAAAAGAGTTGGGCCGGGAATTTAGCTTAGTGGTTTCGCCGCCTGCTGCGCAAGCACAAGGACCCGAGTTCAATCCCTGGTACCAAAATAAATAAATAAATAAAAATTTAAAAAATAAAAAAGAGTTAACAAACCAGGAATAGAAGGCCATATAAGAAAAACCCATAGCTAACATTATACTCAGTGGGGAAAGACTGAAGACTGAAAGCTTTCCCCTTAAGATCAGGAAAAAGACAAAGATGTCAACTTTCACCACTTCTTTCTCTTCAGTATAGTACTGCAGTTCTTGCCAGAGGAATTAGGGGGAAAAATAATAATAATAAACAAAGGCATCCAAATTGGAAAGAAGTAAATTTGTCTCTATTCATATATGACATGATCTTCTATGTAGAAAACACTAAACAAACCACACACAGGCACACACACACACACACACACACACACACCTGTTAGAATTAATAAATGAGACCCAGGTGTGACAGCACACAAGTAATCCCAGCATTTGGGAGGCTGAGACAAGAGGATCACTGCAAGTTCAAGGCCAGCCTGGGCTACATAGTGAGTTCAAGGCCAGCCTGAACTAGATAGTGAGATCCTGTCTCAAAAAAGAAAAAGAAAAAAAAGAACTAATAAATGAATTCAACAATTTTCAGCATACAAACCAACTCAGAGGGCCAGGGATTTAGCTCAGTGTTTCCACCACCTGCCTCAAAAGAACAAGGTCCTGAGTTTGATCCCTGGTACCAGAAAAAAACAAAACAAAACACAGAAATCGGTTGAATACTTATATACTAGCAATGAACAATCCTAAAAGGAAATTAAGAAAACAATTCCATTTATGATAGCATCAAAAAGAATAAATTTAACCAAATAGGTATAAGATTTGTATACTGAAAATGACGAAACATTGCTGGTAGAAATTAAAGAAGACCTAAATAAATGGAAAGATATCCTCTCCTCATGGATTGGAAGACCTAATATGATGATAACACTATTCAAAGTGGCCCACAAATTCGGTACAATGTCTATTGAAATCCCAATAGTATTTTTTTTTCTGAACCAGTAAAACCCATCGTAAAATTCAAATGAAAATTCAAGGAACCACAAATAGCCAAAATAATCTTAGAAAGAAGAATACCAAAGCCTACTAAAACTACAATAATCAAAAGTCTAGTGCTGGCATAAGAACAGAAAAGTAGACCAGTGCAATAGGATAGAGAACCCAGGAATAAACCCTCATGCAGATGGTCAGTTATTTTCAAACATGGCACCAAAGCCATTTAATGGCTTTTCCACAAATGGTGCTGGGAAAACTAGACATCTTCATGCAAAAGAAATTGGACCCTTATCTTGATATGCATCAAAGGCCTAAATGTAAGAGCTAAAGCTATTAAACCCTCGAAATAAACACAGGGGAAACTTTCGTGGACTTGGTTTTGGCAATGATTTCTTAAATATGACACCAACAGTACAGGTAATGGAGAAAAAAACAGTACAAGTAATGGGGTAAACTAGACTTCATCAAAATTTTAAAATTTTGTGCATCAAAGGACACTACCAACAGGCCAAAAAAACAACTATAAAATGGGAGGAAATATTGATAAATCATATAACTAGAAAGGATCTTTTATTGAGGATGTATAAAGAACTTTTACAATTCAACAATCAGACTTCTCCCCAGGTGTGGTGGTGGACGCCTGTAATCTCAGCATTCTGGAGGCTGAGGCAAGAGGATCACTGTGAGTTCAAGGCCAGCCTGAACTGCATAGCAAGACCCTGTCTCAAAAAAAACAACAAAAATCAGACTTTCTGGAAGGAGAGGGAGTGCTTAGAACCTGGAGCAGGATGAGGAAGCAGTCATAGTGTTCCTGGAGACAAACAGCAAGGCTTATACCAAGACTGGCTGAAAATAGGAAAGGACTCACAGATTCAACTGATACTGAGGAGATAGAATCGGGCAGCTTGGGAATTGATTGATTTTGTGTTTTCAGTTCTCATGAGGCTGAACGCCAGGACAGGGCCCAGCTCTCAGGAAGGAAAAGAGGAGGGGGGAGTGAGGGAAGTGAAAGTGTCCAACTACATAAATAGGCAGCAGCCCAGTCCCAGCCCACACACAGACCCCCAACTTGCAGCTGTCCATTTCAACCACAGCTCTAGGCTCATCCTCATCCTCAATCACAGCCATGGCTCAGATGCTCGCTCTGAGGCTCCTTATCCTGGTCCTGGCCCTCTGCATCACCCAGATACAAGGTAGGAAGGAGGGAGGAGCCTTAGCTGGGGAAAGGGGCTGGAGAGACCTGGGTAAGAGCTTATCAGCAGCCCCTGGCTCCCTGCAAACTTCACCCTACAGGTAGCGATGGTGGGGGCCAGGACTGCTGCCTCAAGTACAGCCAAAGGAAGATTCCCTACAAACTTGTCCGCAGCTACCGGGAGCAGGAACCAAGCTTAGGCTGCCCCATCCCGGCTATCCTGTGAGTGGGCATGAGGAGCTGGGTACAGGCTGGTGGCTGAGTGGGCAAAACTAAGAAGGCTTACTAACTGATTAGCTTATTAACTTCCAACCCCCAGGTTCTTGCCACGGAAGCGCTCTCAGGCAGAGCTATGTGCAGACCCTAAGGAAGCCTGGGTGCAGCAGCTAATGAAGCGTCTGGACAATCCACCAGTCAAGAGCTGTGGGAAGGAGAGAGGGAACCCCAAGTCTGGAAAGAAGAGAAAGGGCTCCAAAGGGTGCAAGAGGTGAGGAAGCTGAAGGAAGGGGAGGTGGATAAAAGGGAACCTCAATCATCCTCTCACACACCTATTCTGCTGTCCCAGGACTGAGCAAACACAGACCCGACAAGGGCCATAGCTCAGTGACCAACCTGGAGCCCAGCCCGCCAGAGCGTGGAGCCTCAACCCAAGGGGCAAGAAGAAGGTCAGAAGAGAGGAAAGGTTCAGGGGCCCCAGAGCAGCCACCCTATGTTGGCCTTGTCATACCCCTTCTTCTGCTGCCACCATCCCACATTCATTCCCTTCCCTACCTTGCATGCCTGAGCTGCCCACACAGAGCCAGGCCCTGAGAGGCAGAGGAAAGAGTCTCCCAGGGTGTGTGAGGAGACAGCAGGACTGTCCCCTCTGGTCCATCACCCAGGACCCAAGTCTTGACCCTACTCCTCACTGCACCCACCTCTTCCTTATAAATGTGATTCATACCTAACTGAATAAAAAGCTGTTCCAGCTTCCCACCCAAATACCTGGTCCTGTGTGTTTGTGTCTACAGGGAAGCCAGTGTCACTGCAGGGTGGGGTCACACACTCTAAGGTCCAAGCTAAGAACTCTAGATGGCAATTACTATGTTCCCCTCTACCCCATCAGTTTTCCTCCCTCCCAGGAGTCCAGATCTCTGGAAAGTTGAAGGGAGGTTGATGGGTAGGGTGGGCCGTGGTCTCTGAGGAATCTTTGCTGGTGGGCCTGGAAAGGACACATGTGTGCACGCACGCACGCACGCACACACACACGCACGCACACACACACCATGGCTCTTCAGGTTTCTCTTCCCTGATTCTTCTCAGTGTTCTTTTACTCCATGAGTGACGTCCATGTCTTTTCCCAGATCCAGAGTCTGCCTCCCCTTTCCTTGGGACCTACTGAACTATAACTTCCCAGTTCCCCCAGAAGAGTCCCCAGGAGTGATACTGTGGTCTGGGTTCATTGGCAGCACAGGCAAACACAAGTTCCACTGAGAGCTACCTAAGGCACAGTTCCAGCCCTGGTAGTGGAAGCTCTCATCCCCTCCAACAAACATGAGAGGACTCCCTTCTGCCCTGTTCAAGGCAGCTTAGCCCCCTCACCTGTCCCATTATTTAGTGGAGCTCTTGTGATCTCTTGCTCTTCCTATTTGGGCTCCTTGAGTTCTTCAGCTTCCTTTCAGTTGGGAAACCCCTTCCCTTTCTTTCTCCTTTCTCCCCTGGCTGAGACCCAAGGTACTTGAGTGTCTTTAACCTCTTGAAGCCAAGGAACAAGTCTCCCAGGGGCAAGTCTTTGTGAAGCCCAGAATTCAGACATAAATTAGTCTCCTCTTCAAGAAGACCCCAGCTGGGTTCTCCTCCACTTCTTTTTCCTCAACAGAGATCCTCCTTTCCTTCCCTCAACCCCAAGCAAGGAGACAAAAAGCCACTGGATGGGACCAGGCAATGTGGGAGAGTGGGGACAGATGGAGAAAGGCAAGGAGTCAGGGGCCTAAGAGCTTAGAGGTGGCTGCCCCCATCAAGAGCCCTAAGCACACCACAGCATTTACTACTTAAGCAAAATTGTTACACAAGTCTCTCTTGGGACTTGTGAAAAGGGGGCACCTCCATACCTATCCTTGTGCATAAGATGTGCTCTTAGCCTAAAAACTCAGATGTGCAAGAAATACAACATTTAGGCGGTGGTGAGACAGGGTCTTGCTATGAGTTCAAGGCTGGCCTTGAACTCACTATGTAGCCCAGGTTGGCTTTAAACTTGCAGTAGCCCTCCTGCCTCAGCCTCCAGAGTGCTGGGATTGCAGGTATGCGCCACTACTCCCGGTTTATACAGCTTTTTTTTTTCTTTTTTGTACCAGAGATTGAACTCAGGATCTTGTGCGGCAGGTAGTGGAACCAATGAGCTAAATTCCTGGCCCCTACATACAGAATTTTAAAATGTTCTTTAAGTGAACTTAATTCTTACTCCAAGCCCCTGCACTGGAGGGGTGGTGAAAATTTTGATATTTGGCACTCTCAGGAAATCCCATCTTCCAAAGGATATTGTGTTAGTTACCTTTCTCTTGTTGCTGAGAGAATACCTGACATCCAAAGTTAGAGGGGAAGGAGATTATTTGGCTTACAGTTTATAGAGGTTTCAGTCCATAGTCGGCTGGCTCCAAGGCAGGGATGGCAAACAGACATTGCAGAGGAGGAATAACATGGCACGCAGAAGGTACCAAAGGCAACAAGAGGAGTTTAACAGCATCTTTCTACTGTTATTCAGACCATGGGGATTAGGGCAGTGCCAAACTAATCACTCACATGTAGTGGTTTAGTAATCACACGCCCTTAACCCCAGCATCACACATTCCAGATTCAACTACCTCTGAAAAAGAAAGTCCCACCTCATCCACATGAGGCTTTGGGGGGACATCTAAACACAAACCATAATAGATATGTAAAGGTCATGGAAGCACCAAGAACCAGCCCCCCCCCCGATATCATGCCATCATTGGACATCACCAGGGAGTGCGGTCCCGTGGGTATGTCTCTTTGGACCTGTGAAAATTGGAGACTTGGGAATTCAGGTTTGAGTACCGCTGGGCTTGGACCTGGCCTCTCCACCATACCCCTCAAAACCATCTACTCAGAGTCCTGTTACTTGTTCCATCACTGCTAGCCTTTAGAGTCTAGTGCCCACTCCATCTGGAAGTTGGTCAGGGAAGCAACCTGCGAAGTCTTGAAGAATTCTCTCCCTCTTCCCAGCCCCTTCAGGACATAATCTCTTCCTAGGTTTACTGAGACTTTACAAAAGGCAGAAGGACCTTTGCCATCTGGATGCTTGTACTCTCAGCCCTGCCAAAACCTTTGCCTGCTCTAAAACAAGAGGAAAAACAGGCAAAACAAACAAAGCTTCATACTTCACTAAATTATCCCACCACACTTGTATGCCTGGTGTTTGCCTCAAGCCCTGATCTGAGTAGGCACACAATATATTATTTTTTAGCCAAAGAATGGTGGTCATGTTTCTTGTCTGCCTTCATCTTTGACAATGTCCTGTTTTTACTTCTTTCTGTACAATACATAATGCAAAAAGGTCAAATATACATACTCATGGCTTTAAAAAAATCACAAAAGGGGCCAGGGATTTAGCTCAGTGGTTTCACCTCCTGCTGTGCAAGCACAAGGACCTGAGTTCAATCCCCAGTACCAAAAAAATAAAAATAAAAATAAAAGATAAAATAACATAAAAAATAAATTAAAAATCACAAAGTACCAAAATCTTATTCTGAACACCATTTCCTATCAATTTTAACTCCTAAATTATTTCTTCCAGAGTTGGTGCAGTGCATCCAAAGGCATACATATGTCTTTCTTTTAAATGTTACCAACTGATTTCTTACTGTAAAAAGTAAAGATTTAGCTGGGAGTGGTAGCCCACACCTGCAATTCCAGCACTCAGGAGGCTGAAGCAAGAGGATTGTGAGTTTGGGGGAAGCCTGAGCTAAACAGTGAGACCCTGTCACAAATACACACAGAGTGAAGATTCAGCTGTTTTACTAACTGCTCTCTCCTGTCACTCCATCCTCTAAACACAACTACCATGAGCACTAAATTTAAACCATGATCAGTTTACATTATTTTGACTACATAAATACTGTCCACTGCAGAACCAAGTAATTACTATGCTCACTTCTCCTTTGTTACCCAGCTTTTTGCTTTTCTTACAGATTCTAATGGCTCTTCCCTGTAAAAAAAAAATACTCATCTTGGGCCAGGGATTTAGCTCAGTGGTTCCACCGCCTGCCTCAAAAGCGCAAGGTCCTGAGTTCAATCCCCAGTACCAGAAAATAAAAAATATATCCATCTTGACATTATTGTCACCTTCAAATGCTTCATCATATGAGGTAAATAAAAGACCTAATATTTTAATACATGTAATATAAGAAAAACTAGATTAATGTGTTTATAACCATGATGTAGAAAATAACTTTTTTTTTGAAAATAACTTTTTAAATAAGACATAAAATCAAATCATAATGGGAAAGATCAATACCATGAAATTCAAAAACAAATGGGAGCTAAGCATATGCCTTTATTTTCACTCATTCCTGAGCCCCTACTGAAACTATAATAAGGTTATGATTTTGGGGTGTGTGTACATGCGTGCGTGTGTGTGTACCTGCATGTTTGTGTGTGTAAGGCATAAATACATAGGACCCAAATAGAAAAGGAGATGAAAATAACTCTCCAAAAGACTGCAAGATAGACAAGTATTTCAGTAAAAATGTGTACAAAGCATAGACCAAAATTTTAAATTTGAAGGATTTCCAATGTCTTGTTGCTGTACACATTAAAAATACATATTTTACTGAATATTAGTATGCCAGTAGTCAACCAGAAAACAGCTAATGGCTTCTACTAGAAATGTAAAAATTAAAAAATTACCTCCAAAATTTACAAAATCATCATCGTCTGAACATGAAAATATTGTGAGCCCTGGAATCTTAAATTATCCTTTAACCCTGAAGCACTAAAGCATTTCATTGCTTTAAAACTGAGGTATTACTACCTTCTAACACTGTTATCCTCAGTTATTTAAATAACAACACCATGCATCTAAATTATCTCACCACTATCTCTCCCATGAAATGATATCACACATGTGCACCAATTAATGAAATTATGCAGCTGGCTCCTTGTCGGTGTTGTCACAGAATCTGAAGCTTTCTGCTTCCCCTTGTTCATTCCTTCCCTGTCAATTTTTTCAGGGCCTCATTGTTTAGAACTAATAGAAATAACTTTACAATCTCAGTCATATGAACCTGAAACCAAATTCCGAGGTTAAGAAAAACAGGTTTTAACGATCCCTTTCCCCATGATATGTGGATCAAGCTTTGGCTAACCACAATTTCTGTACTCATCAATCCAACCCTTCAGAGGAATATGATCACCAAAGACATGTTCTTTCCTTTGATATCATTTAAAAATTAAAAATGGGGCAGTACGGGGCTCCCAGCACAACATACATGACACACATAGCAGCTTCCACCTTGCCCCAATGAGGGGCAGGAGGATGGAAGTCTATTTTATTATCTATAAAAGGTCAAAATAACTTGTTTCCTAGCTTTAATCATTTACCTGTGAAACATGTCTCCAGTGTAACCTTGTTTGTGAAGTTCTTTCATTTCTACATCCAGCTGCTGTTACTTCTTGTATTTTGTGACAAAATGGTGCTCTTTTCTTAAAATCATCAGTGCTTCTATTCTTTACCATGAGTCTTGACCAATGCATTGCTATTTTAATGAATGCTGAAATTGTGAAGCCACTCTTTCTAACGCATGTATCTGTAATGCTTCTAGTGGTGTCTACAATTCTCCAAGAGATTATTAGCTGAAAACTATGTTTCCAGGGCCGGGGATTTAGCTCAGTGGTTTCGCCGCCTGCTGCGCAAGTGCAAGGGCCTGAGTTCGATCCCCAGTACCAAAAAAAACACACAAAAACAAAACTATGTTTCCGTCAAG